GTCTTCAAAATACGGGTGCGTCTTATACACCGAAAAATACGGTAAGTTGAAAATCTATCCTGTATAAATGTAATGCGCTTCATAAAATATAATCTGTGAGTTAATTTGAAAGAAATAATGGTTAGCGTGCCGAAGGATCGGAAAAACCAAGTTTTGAATTAAGTTGCCTAAGTTGCTTTCAGTCTTAGGCGTGTTGTAAAAACTAGCTGAGGGCATCTGTTAAGGAAGCAAAAATTGTATAAAGGACAATGTTAGATAATGCTCCCCTTCATTCTTTCTTCTGTTATTTAATCCCTAACAACCTCATCAGATACTAATTGCATACTCTGCTTTGTGAAAGTAAGTACTTGTGTCTTTAAATTCAAAGCAAAAAAAACCTACAAAAAAGTGGAAGTGTACGATACTTCAGAGACTTTTTTTACCCACTTCTAGAGTAAAAATTATAAAACAAAATAGCTCATCTAGATCGTCGGATAGTTTCCAGTTAACATATAAAATTACAGTAATCGAGCCAGCCAACTGTGGATGATGGGAGCAAAAAGTGTAAATGTGCCCCATTTCAAGGTATTTTTCATCCCTCTTGTCGGGCAAGAATCTTAAAATAAAATATCCCTGTATACCGCCGGACATTATCCAGTTACTATACAAAAAATACAATAATCGAGCCAGCCAACTGTGGATGATCCAAGCAAAAAAGTATAAGAAGCGGAAATCTAACCTATTTTAGTGCCATTTTTATCCCATTTTCAGGGGAAAATCCTAGAACAAAATAACCCATATATACCGTTGGACAGTTTTGAATTAGCAAACCAAAAATTACGGTAATCGAATCCGTTAATTCTGGGTTATGGATGCTGAAAATCTGCAGTTACCATGCCAAAAAATTACGGTAATCGAATCCGTTAATTCTGGGTTATGGATGCTGAAAATCTGCAGTTACCATGCCAAAAATTACGGTAATCGAATCCGTTAATTCTGGGTTATGGAAGCTAAAAATCTGCAGTTACCATGCCAAAAATTACGGTAATCGAATCACCAAATTCTGGGTAACAAATTCTAACACAGATACATAACCATCTTTGTAGTCAGCATTGTTGTTACTTTCCAACAAGACCCTTGTGATAGTAGTAACAAGTACTGCTACTTGGTTGCCGTCCTTCTTATCAGTAGGTCAAATTATGATGTGAGCTCTGACATGGCCGTTTAGCCCATGCGCTTAAATGTCGCTGTTCTGGTGGAAAATTATTTACCATTACTATAAATGTAATCTAAAGCTCTATCACAAAACATTTAAATAAACCTTAACAAATTATATTATATTTGTCATAAGTGAAGCATTTATGAGTAATTTCATCTACTGAATTCGAGACTGTATTTATTATTTGACTTACGACTGACTAACGTTTCACATAGTTCAAGTTAGCACTCAATATACAGCTGTACTCACGCTGTACCATCATATACTCCATACGATTGAGTATCTTCGTTCTTGGAAGAGTAGACATTGTAACAGTCTGTAATAGCTCTTTTAAATTCGTCAGGAATTATACAAGAGTTATTGCGCACTCGTAACTGGCGTAATCGAGGCGCTCCTAGTAATCGGTTAACGTAGAGTATAGATCGTTCATTACCCACTGTGGTTTTTTCGTTGTACCAGGTATCCCAATATAAGGCATCTAGCATCACGTGCTCTGCAAACTAAGTTTTAGATCAAAAGCAGCAATAAAAAATTCATCAGTTCATTACAATACATAACGAAAATACATTTACTATTCTCTGATGACATTATGATACAATTGTATCGAACTTACAAGCTTATTTTGCAAGAATATGTTTTAAACTTAATGTTGATTATTTGATATTTAATTAACAAATAATGGAGAATCTACAAGAACGTATTAGTCAGTGTAAACTTTAATACGTTTCTAGAACTGTAAATGCTAGTCTTTTATTCAAAAGTAGCTGTTTTTGGCAATTATATGCTACAAATTATTAAAATGCTATTTTATGTAAAGAAAGAAGGTTACTTTTGATTTTTAACACAGGAATTAAAGGTTACTAATGTACCTATGTGTGTTTATACATACCCTTGGGATACGTGAAATATCTCGCAGCTCAAATGATTAGATCTGACTTATGTAAAATTACTTTTTAATCATATACAGGAAAAACAGTTTAAATTGAACCAAGACTTACTATTGGCCATTGTTAATTTTCTTTTGTATTTGTAATTCAGTCAAATAAAAAGGGAAAAATTAAATACTGTACAAAACCACTGCCTGTTAACCACTTCTGAAATGAACAAATTTCTTGTTGGGACTTCACTAATTATTTTCATTCTATAATGCTATGAATATTATAAATTGCATCGAACAGTTAAAAAGAAATTAGAATTTATAATATTTTATCTATGACAAAGCAAAACCATTATTATAGAATAATGCCAATAATCCCTCGTAGTTCAGTTATCTGATGATTCAGTGTATATGAATAGCCAATTGACCAGTCATTCTCCTTACTCTCCAATAAACTTTTAGTAAATATAGCTTTATGTACTTACAGCTCCCTCTAATACGGAGTCTAGTTATCACGAACAACAAAAATAGTATGGCGCCGAATTTACATTCCTAAAACAACGGTATTGATAATATTCTGAAGTACTCTTGATCATTCATCTGAAAGTGCTGTTTCCAGGACATTTTTAGTTGTCTGAAGATATTTGTAAGAAACGTACAACCGCTTTCTAAAGAACATTCTATATATATATATACACTTTATCCCTACATGAATAGAGCTATTTTAATGACACTTCTAGTATTTGGAGTCCATTCAAATAGTGTGACGCGTCTTCCACGAACATCTCATATATGTTCAACGAGATTGAAATCTGGTGGTTTTCAATCAATCCCCAGTTTATAGCATAGTGGCGGTTGGCGTTTTTATCTAGTAGTCTGAAGGCCGGGTCAATTTTATCACCACAAGGCAACACAAAAGGTCATATGATATATATTCTACAAAGTGTAGAACTAGTGGTACCCAATTTGCAAGTGTTCATTTTTGTTCACACAACAATTCCATCACCGTCATATGTGTTACAATCTTATATAACTTGGATTAATTCTGTTTCTATATTTTTATAAAATGAGTACATATGTGTTACCTGACTAAAGGGTAAAGTATGAACTTATATTTTATTAGTCCATAAGACTTATTCTTGACATAAATGCATATGAAGTATTTTATGCCTTACTCCGAGTCAAATGCATCTTATTCGTGGGGATGAGGGGGTTGACATACAAGCTGTCCTTGTAAGATTTATTTCTAGCGTTATGTTCACTGGATGTGAGCATTAGAATTAGTGTCAGAGTAGATAATGTACGACTGGGGCAAACCAGAAGTGGTGATAGAAGCAATTGGGAAAGTGTTGGAACCTGCTGGAATCTTCGGAAAGTTTTTATTTTCTATTAGGCAGAACACATTGAATTTATTATACCCAATTCTGCGGCTGTACAGTGTGAGTTTTGTTGGAACAGTATATATATATATAACTAGAAAGAGAGAGATAGTGTTGTTTTTATGATTAAGTGGTAGATTCACACTAGTGTTACGACGCCACAGGTTCGTAATCCCTAGTCCAACGAATATCGGGTCTGTCGGTATAGCCGACGTATTTTCATTTCCTCTGCACATGTTACTACATTTGCCGTGCAGTCTTTCACATTCTCTCTCATTTCGTTCGTGTGTACAGACATAACCCAGTCACTATACGAAGTTGAATTTTAAGTGAGCTACCAAATGAACCAGTTCGGCCTGAGGAATTTCACAAATTAACATTTTTTATTATTATTTACCAGGTCCTATACGCCTCCAAAAAATTTGTAAATTATAAGACAAACCGCACTGAAAATAACAGGAAACATCACACTATGTTTCTTCAAAGGAACTCTGTTTAACCCCCTATACACAAAGTTTTAGCTCGATAAACTTACAGAAAGGCAACGCGTTTGAGAATACTGTAACGTGCATTTTTACACCGGTAAGGTCGTATAACTTTCTTGAAAGGGATTCTATATATAAATTGAAATTGATCAATGATCATTAGTTCCTTATCAGTAGGCACATAAGGATAAATCGATTGTAAGAAATGGGGGGCAACTTTAACAAAAATTTTAAAGAGTTCCATGCCGTCGAATTTTAACGAGCTCCTTACCAGTAATCCGTAACACACTTTTTAGGTGAAAGCTTAATTTAAGCACTATAAAATATGGAGGTAACATGGTGTAGTTGTTAATACTACTCCTAATCGATACGTTGAGGTCGAGATATTATATTGTGTCCTTAATCACACACACACTTTACCCAAATTCCTTCATTCTCCCCAGCTGTTCAATGGATACCAGCAGGTATTTAACTGCTGAGAGAGATATGACTGACATTATTTTATAAAAATGTTTTGTGCTTTTTTAGCTATAAGGGCATTGCCAAAAACAATTACAGAATTATAAAAAAATTGTTTTTGTAATATTACAGTTATGACAAGGCCAAACTACTGTTGGTAAATAATACCAATGGCACCCTGAGTTAATTTTCAAAAGTACATATCATCTGGCTATTTATGTGATCTAATATTGGAGTCCTTGTTCACAAATATTCATTTGGTAATATAAAGTTAAAATCCCGATAAATTATCAGAAAATGTTTATTAGTAAAGTATATATCGTTACCTTGGCATCTAATGCATACCTGAAATGAGTAAATCAATGAGATACCGGGGTAATATTACCTTCTTCTTTATTAGATCTACTTCCAGTTCATTAACACTTGTAGGAGGTAAATCAAGTGCTGACAAGTGAATTCCAAGAACATCTCATAACTATTCAATCAGATTCAAATCCTGTAAGCGTGATAGCCAGTCCTTTCACTCAACACCATCTTATTGTAGGCAACTTCTCACTAGTTCAAGTAAAAAGGGGGGATTACTTGTATAATATAGCATTCATAGTACCGTATTGTAACACAAAAAAGGTCAGTGTGGCCAAAAGTACTAGTTCATTCTCAGGCTAATATGTCACCACCACCGTATGTGTGTCTTTTCTCTGTGGAATTGGGATTAAATCTGGTGTTGATCACTCTACAAATACATATATACGTATCGTATTTGGCTGTAGTGAAAAGCTTGATTCCTATGTGAACAAGACAGTCATCCGGATGTCGTTTGCCCATTCCGCAGTTCTTGACACCACTGAAGACAGACTATTTTGTAGCGATGGGTTAGAGAAACACACACCATTGGTTGTTTAGCCCAAAGGCCGAACTTGTTAAAGCTCTTTCTGACCATATTGTGCTGACTTGTCGTCCATTTAATGCTCTGAACTATCGATTCAGTTGGGAAGCTGAGAACCATATTGTTAAGTAGAGAAAATTTTGCGGGGTTGTTGTCATTGCTAAGTGTTGGTGGTCTGAAACAGAGTCGGCATCCGCTAACCAAATTTTATGAGACTGTTTGCCATATCATTAAAATGTGCAAGTGTCTTTTATGGAGTCCTAGTATATTTTAATAGCAATCTGAATCTCTTTTACACTCTGCTTTTATTCAAACTGTTGAGGATACACTGTTTCCTTCACTTTTATAAACCAATGAAATCAAATCAAATCACACGATTGGTCATATGAAACCTGTTTTGTGTAACAATAAACTGAGGGGTGAATGCATACAGTTAAGCACGAAGCTACACAATGGGCTATCTGTGCTCTGCCCACCACGGGTATCGAAACCGATTTATAGCGTTGTAAATCGGCGGACATACCGCTGTACCACTGGGAGGCTGAGGGGTGTTATTGATATTGTTCAATATCAATTGTTGTGCCTTGTCATAGCTAAAATACTGAAAATTCTGATTAGCCCTTAACTGCTTTGAAGAGTTTACTACAAATTTCCATTACATTTTGATTATTTTGCTCATTATAATACAGGATAGTAAACTTTAAAACAGATTATGCCAATTGTGACTTGTGATAATTTCATATCCTTCTAAGGTAAAATCGTTTCAATGTAATTATAGAGTTTAAATGTGTCGTACCTTATAAAACTTTAAAAAACAATAAGTTTCAAAGAGTCTGGAAATGATTCACACAATTACGTTTCATTCATTACCAAATCAATACCTGCGATTACAAGCACATAGAGAAACAATCACATATACATTTGAAACACAAGCTAGCCTGAAAAAACTGGATCACTATCTATCAGATCTTAATACAACAGCTCCTTACGTTCCAAAAATCATCAATGTACTTAGCTTCTTTCAAATTACTACTTGAGTCCGGAAAAGTGGTGTCCAGAAACAGAGATTTTAGGATACTTGTGAAATAGAAATGATTTATTCCCACCATCGTGAAAATTACTGAAAGCATCAAGAGACAAAGATATTGCCTACATAAGTATATATGATTGTTTTGAATACTTTTACAATACAATAGAACTGTAAGACTTTGAGATTATTAAGTTACTAAATTATTCAATACGAATATTCAGTATTTTTTTTACACAGAAAATACAAATACTTTCGAAACTCTGACAAAAATATTTTCATTTATTAATTTAAAAACAATGTTAATCATATTTCCAGAAGTTTAGGTTGGTGATTCTTTAAGTTTGTTCACAGGTTAAACAAGTATTTAATTGGATACTTTTTGAACAAATATTATTTCAATTTTATTGACAATTCTGCTTCTTTGAATTGAGGATTTAGTCGCTTACTTAGTAGGAAAGTCTCTTTGATGTACAAACTTCTTTCATCCCTACTCCTTGCCATAATCCTGAACCGATTACTCCTTAATCTAAATTACACTCACGCATGTCATGTTTATTTATATTTGACTTATCATTCAGTAGATTTGCATGTTTCGCACCCCAGTTTGAAACTATCCACCTATATTCCTAGCATCATGACTAGGAGAAACAAATTAATATATAACATTAGACGTTTTTGTGCAGAAATATTGTCTTTAAATGAATGGAATGTTCGTATATAGGTTCTCAATGTCCCAATTAGCACAGTACACATTTCTATCAAATCCCTGGCCCTGCATCTCATAAGAAAACATAAAACTGTCTTTCATGGTTTAGTCGTTATAACTAAAATGATCCAAAAATTACGCTAAAAAGTCTGCCAGTTCGTGATTATAAGTATACTATTGGTGTGTTCTGGCAACTTTTTGTTTATAAGCAAAGCTACATTGGCTTTGTGCTGTGTCCATCGCGAGAAATAGAACCCCGGATTTTAGCATTGTAAGTCCATAAACTTACCGCTGATTCACCAGAGGACCCATATTATGTATCAGGATAGTATCTAGAAGTCTTATCTTAGAATAGTCATTTTGTATCAATAAATAACCTTTTATTTAATTTCAAAAAAAAAAAAACATTTGTAACCTATTTTCTTTGGTTTGGGTAGGATCACTTTCAAGGCCTTTGAATTTACTACAATCATTCGAATTACATTCTGTTTTGAGAATGTAATGAGATTTATTTAAAAATGAAAACACTATTTCCTTTATCAGGTTTCATTAATGCAATGTTTTAACTTTTATTGACATCCAATTCCTCTTTATTGATATAAGAGCATTTATAATTATAACTATAGTTCTAAAACGCCGATAAACCTAAACCCCTAATCTGAGTTTTAACACAATCATCAGGTTCATTCCTACGACTCCAAATCTATTGCTAAGAAACCTGTTTAAGTAAACATCCAACATGTAACAAGTAATTTTTAAAATTAATTTAAGAAGGCGGTAATGCAAACTTCAAACTACACAAGAATACTTTTTTAATTGCATCCAACTGATAATTAGACAAATTAAATAGAACTTTGTCTGTATCATTAACAAGATTATTATGACAGTAATGCTTTCTCAACTTATTCCACCTTTTTCTGCATTTAAATGAATATTTATTATATTCTGTACAAACCTAATTATGTAAATAAAAATAATCCAGTTTACTAAACGTCTGATTAATAATCAAAAAAGATTCTTCAAAATGGCATCTAAAGGATGGACACGCCTTATTTTTTGTCTAATTTCAAAATTTAATTATTGTTTTTTATATTGTTGAAATTGTCTAGCATAACTGACTACCTAGTAGAAACTTTAAAATTAGCAACTTTCGGGAAATACCTTTAGATTTTTACATTCATCTAAAACTTATAATGTAATTGATTTATATAAAACATACAAGTATAACTTCTTAGTCGTCCATAAAAATCCACGTCGCTTTTTAGTAACGTTAGTGATCGATGTATGTTTAGTGTCACAATAAATTTAGCACAAGAAAAAAGTACACTTCATTACCATCACATAAAAACTTAAATATCCAAATATACATGTTCAAATAAAACACATTATATTTAAAACTTTTTCATAATCCTAACGAAAACCTAAAACTTCCACTTCCTTTAAATTACTAAGTAAAACAACAAAAACTGGAAAAATCTTACATCACATGGACTTTCGGACTCAACAGAATCCATCTTCTAGCACTAACAATCACAAACATTTGAAGACAAAAAACAAGAGAGAAGAGAGTGTGTGTTAGGTTAGGTATTTGTGAAATAGTAATACGTAAGGTATTCGATTTCTTAAAATATATTAATTATGACTTTCATGTTAAAAACATTGCTTTTTTGCATTTTTGAATAATGGTACTTGTATTTAAAGCTTGAAATGCATAGTTACAAAGTTCTCGCCAGGCATTATTTTATTAGTGTTTAATAGCTTATATTATATTGGCAGTAACGTCGTTATTTGATATGTTACAGCCTGATGTGTTATATGATTGTCAAAGGAATCATAAAGAAAGTTGTCTGGTTAGAGCAATAATGTTAAATATCAGTAATTATGATCACGAACTGGCATCATAAGTATACCATAAAAGACAGTTTTTCTTTTCCAATGAAGTACAAGACCTAAAGTTCGATACTGTACTAATTGTAACATGAAGTCCTTCTTATAGTTGGCGACAGGCTTAACTTATGAAATTGAAAATTATGGTATGAGATCCAACAAGTCTGTTTTCAGCCACAACTGGAATTTGCCAGCAGTGAGTCCCGTTTAATATCCAACCAAGAAAGGTATCACTTTTTCTACAACAGAATGAGAGGAACTTAAACAGTGGGTCTTAAACATCAATGTAGTTGTACAGCGCAAAACTGAACAATATTTTCTTCTAGAAGGACTGAATCGTGTCATTCATGTTGCATGTGTTAATAATATCTCTATTTTGTTTACACATCGATTTGATTAACGTGGTATTGATTTGATATCTGATAAAAATTATCTTTGTTCTGTCAGATTCAAAATATCATGTGCACAAATTTCTCATGTTCATACATACTAAAACACTATAGTTCATAATGAAAAGTAACTGAATAAATAGGTTCAATCAAATCTTATTAATATACACTGAACAAGTGTACCCTATTTTACAAGTACTAAAGAAAGAACAGTGTGAAATCGACGGTCTTAGTCAAACTCATCATTCTTGTAATATGTTTAATCCTGATGAATGTGTATGGCTTGTATTTGAGATCAGCATTGACAAGAGTGAATAAATTTATTGTTCGATCTATAATTAATCAAAGAGTAACACAGTTAGATTTATCAGGTTCTATCAATGAAACTTTCTGGGATACTGTAGAGAAAGACGATTTTATCCAAGAGTTATCAAATATAATGTCCTACCTTTGAAGATTTTAAGAACAAACAACATCTGTAAAATAACAGTGATAACAGTAAAAAAGTTCATGATAAATTATTTCAATTGTTGTTTCTTACGATAAAATATATTGTATTTCACATTTTATAAATCCAACATGTTTACACTGATTTACAGTCCAATGTGATAATACCTGTGGTATATACTTGTTCTAGCAGGTTATTAGTCATATAGAATAAATCGCCACGAATGAAACATAAGGGACATTCTCCAAAGTAGTCAAAGTTTCTTTATTTTAGAAAGTAGGTAAAACATAGCCTGCACTTGAAATACATAACTAAATTGACAGTCCCCCGTCGTGCTGAATATTAAATCTTGACCTTCACATACCCCTCTCCTACTGACGTGTTATCTTCAATATATGTAAGTAAAGACTTTTAAAGTATCACACACACTGAAACATTGGGTTTACTGTCTATCATTTCAGATTAAACTTTGCAACCAAAACAAACTTTTTGTCCACTATACATTAACTCTGACAATGAAGAAAGAATTTTGTATGTCACTGAACTTTAAATAATAATAAAGGAAACTAAATTTACATTCACGAAATTCATAATATTTGATGGTACAATAGAAAATTATTTTCTACTTCTAAGTTACCGCTTTCTCTTTTTGATGTGAAACTCACATATTTGTCGTTTAAATATAATTCTACAAATATAACACACACAGGTATATGCATAATCTAACTTCTTGAAGATGTAATCGTTTAGACTCGTAAAGAAATATCAGTATCATCCATCTTACAATTTGGACAGTGTTCTTCAGTTCCATCTGAGGGACAAATTCCTCAGACAAGCTGACAGTATGATAATCTTTGATATTTACACCAATTAGAAACAGCTAACTCTGTTATCATTCGAGTACATAATTCATTGTATTATACAATGAAATCTCATACATTTTACGTTTATGTAAATATCATAAATTAGAATAAAATCGAACTTTCATTTTGAAAATATTCTAAGCTGACTGACACAGTCTGAACTTCTGACCATTTGTCGGGCATCAGTATGCAATAATTGTACGCTAACTGAAATGTCCTGTCAAATATTGAGAATACACATTTAGTGTTTTGTAATATGAAAGAATTATATTTACTGACTTTAAAATTCAGTGACATACAAAAACTGCAGTTAAAGTATGGTGAACATTACATAAATGATTATATACAATTTGAACCGTTTATTTTCAATATTAAGTATAATGTAAATAGATACCGACAATGTATTATAATTGACTTTTCTTTTTTTCGAAACAGACTTGGTCAACTCGGAAGTGACTTGTCTCATTCATCTTTTTTGTAGCGTTTACCTTCAAATAGACTTAAAAGTTATTTTTAAACTTTAATTTAAATTGCGAGTTTTTTTTTAGTTTTTTAAAAATGACATTTCTGCACAAAAAATATAATGTCGTTAATGAAATAAATTGTCCCAGTCATGATGGTACTTAGAATTTACCACCAGATAGCTTCAAACTCGAGTGCGGAAACATGCAAATTTACTAAGTGACAACAAGTCAAGTATAAAAGAGCATGTCATGTGTAAGTGCAACGTGAAATTAAAGAGTGATCCATTCGGAATTAGGGCAAATATATACGATTAAAGGAATCTGCGCATCAAAGAGACTATTTAAGCGAGTAAAATCCTAAATTCAAGAAGTTTTATTGGAACAAATGTTTCCTTGGAAAGATAAAAATTTGTCTATGAAAATAAAAAGAACGGAATGGATGCAACGAGAGCAGTATACATATTTACATACCTATGTACATATAGTCGAGTGAATAAGCGTAAATACCTACATGCATCATAGACAATACGAAAATATCTTCCATAAAGTCTTTAACTTAGTACTTACTTGTAGAAAGAAGAGACAAAAAAATCAAATATACGATAAGCTCTTTAATGAGAGCTACAACCTGTCTATCTTCACCTTTACTCAGACACATCTTAATCAGCCCATCTAAAAACAAAAATTCATAATTTTTCACTACAACATACAATTTAGTGGGTTGAGTTAGCTGTCTCACAGACAGAGAAAGATAGTAAAATACGCCTAGGTATTTTTCTAAAGTACAAAATATCATTTGAAAATAAAATAAATTACTGGTAAGTCTAAAATTAAAAACACTGAAAGAAACGCAGCATCTCGCCGATATCAATAATAATTTCAGAACACAATGATATCTACAATTTTATACTAAACTAACGAAGTCATGTGATGAACATCAAACAGCGAAAGGCGATATAACAAAATTGTAAAATTAAACAGACAAAAAAACATTAGCTTATTTAAACAAGATGATGAAGTTGTATTTTGCTTTTCCTTTCTAAACATTATTCCAAAACACACCATTTTGTACCAGATATTTCATAATTATTATTTCGGTTACGTTTACAGACATATGTAGGAAAGACGTTGTTCTAACAACCTATCGATCTTTCCAATACAGAAAGATGTACATTTTTGCAATCTAAAAACACCACCTGTGACTTCTTGTTTTTCAAATTTTGAAGAAAACTGTGGATACTTTGCTATTTTGTTTTGTGTGTTTGTTATTATGCACAAACCCGATTTTTAACGTTATAAGTCTTCAGCCTTACCGCTGAGCCACCGGAGAGGGAACTTACTCCTCTATTAAACCAAGAGTTATGTTAAACATACAAAGTTTTTGTTTGTTTGTTTTGAATTTCGCGCAAAGCTACACGAGGGCTATCTGCGCTAGCCGTCCCTAATTTAGCAGTGTAAGACTAGAGGGAAGGCAGCTAGTCATCACCACCCACCGCCAACTCTTGGGCTACTATTTTACCAACGGCTAGTGGGATTGGCCGTCACATTATAACGCCCCCACGGCTGAAAGGGCGAGCATGTTTGGTGTGACGGGGATTCGAACCCGCGACCCTCAGATTGTGAGTCGAGCGCCCTAACCACCTAGCCATGCCGGGCCATACCAAGTTAGAATGTAGTTAAATATTTGTGAACATACTTACAAAAGCGTTAACACTGCTATAAATCAACTGTTCCACGTAATTTCACTTACATATTATGGTAAGCAACCTTATGAGAAGATGAAATTCTTAAAAAATTTAATATTTGGCAAACTTCAGCTATTTTAAGCAGAATGGCTCGACATGGCCGGGTGGTTAGGGCGCTCGACTCTCAATCTGAGGGTCACGGGTTCGAATCCCCGTCCCACCAAACATGCTCGCTCTTTCAGCAGTGGGGGCGTTATAATTTTATGGTCAATCCCACTATTCGTTGGTAAAAAGAGTAGCCCAAGAGTTGGCGGTGGGTGGTGATGACTAGCTGCCTTCTCTCTTGTCTTACACTGCTAAATTAGGGACGGCTAGCGCAGAAAGCCCTCGTGTAGCTTTGCGCGAATTTCAAAACAAACCAAACCAATTCTAAGCAGTGCATTTGACCGAAAACAAACAAACAAACAAACAAAAATCTAAAAGATCAAGACCAATTAAAAACCATTGTCATAAAACCATTTTAAAATCCATAAATGTGAAATCACTCACTTGGACAGCAACGTTTGAAGAATTGACATTTTTTCGAATTGTTATTTTCGTAATTCTCCTGATTGTCAGTTAAAACGTGAACTTGGCCACCTGTCGAAAGATCTTTTTCATCAGGTTGATTTATTGTTTTTTCTTCATCCTGTTCATTTATTCTCACCAACTTTTCCTTTCTCTCTAGTTTCATAGGCAGTTTGTGTTTTATCGAAGCTTGGTTTTCGAGATCCTGATCATTAGACACAGCAGTATTTCCGCCTGGAAATATTCTTGAAGATTCAATGCAAAATGTTCCAGTTTCTGCCATGTCCGTCATCACAGCACATCTTCAAAAGTTTTTGTACGGATCTTGACAATAGCTCATTTCTCTATTACTATCATATTTCGAACTTTAATATAAAAGCAAGTTATTAATTGTGAAAAACTACGTATGTAATGGTACGTTTTAACACTTTGCTTTAAAGACACAAAAAACAGATACACAAACAATAAATAGTATATGTGTAACTCAGAAACAATAAATAGAAAATATGGAATGAATAATCCATGTATAATAAAAACAATAAATACTATTACATTCTGAAAAATGATGGTGGTAAATGTAGTAACATTTCCTGTAAGGACACAAAAAATAAAAACATACAATAATTAGCATTAGTAATAGCGAAACAATAAATGGCCTAAATAAGAAAGAATAAATATCTCGTGTTTAGTAATAAATCAAATAATAAATATATATCGTATGATATAGAAACGTGTGCAAAAATTAACTCGAGTAGGAAACAACAGAACTCGTGAACTACTCACTATATTCACCATATTAGACAAAAAGAGAATATGGTGAACATAAGTTCAAACTACATTTCATTTTAACAGTGAGCAAAGATAAAGTGAGTAGATTCACGACAGTTGAATGATTCAGTTAAAAATTACTGAGTTTAACTTAATGTAACTGACTAAAGTTTAAAAATGCATTAAACTGAATTAAAATACAGATTGAAAAATGGTGAACTGGTCAGCTGGTTGGAACGGAAGAAAAAATCGCACTGCTTCTTAAAGAAGATTATTTCTTTTCAAAGCTAAATAAAAGATCCGAGACTTTGAAAAGAAATAATCTAGAATTTAATATTCTGATTAAGAATTTAACACACATGATCACATATAAAATCTGTAATGGTTTTCAAACGTTTGAAAACCACTAGAATTTCATATTTTAGCGAAAATATGTATACTTATATTCCATACCATTTAGCCAGAATACACCATAAAGATATCTTGAATTTTGTTAATCGTTTTATGTTACTAAACAATACTTAACTCTCCTTTTTCTCACTAATGGTATCCAGGCACTTAAGTGTTCATTAGATTTAAATCTAAAATTATGATTTTTTTTTTATTAAATAACTTAAATCTATATGTTTTCCTTAATACTAACTTTTTATTTACTTATTAATGTTTAGTGTTATAGCCATATAAATGATACATTAAACTACATATAGAAAAACTTACATACACTATACTTAGCTTTAAAATATATTTATTCTATCAAAATTAGATATGCAACGCACTCAAAGTGCTTTCCAACGCTTTGGAAAGCGTTCTACGGGATTTTCAGCTGGTTACCAGTGAGAGGAACTAATCCATGTGTCTCCTGAATTCTGTTATCAATAATGGATTGCCTGCAATCATCAAAACAGAAAAGAGGATGCCAGCAGTGATATTCAAGCAACTACACCTCGCATAAAGCGTGTTGTGACTCCGTGGGAGGTCTTGTTAGTGAGGCTTATTTATCGCTGTACAACAACCACAACCTAAGATTGAATGGATGTGCCTATCACAACAATAACAGTGATCCAACACCAAGTAAAGTGAATGGTGTATCCCGAAGAGCATGAATCAAGTTACAGAGGTAAGTTCACGAGTTCATTTAGAAAAGATTACGCTCCATTCTATTCCACAGAGTTCTTCAGAATGTTATGAACACATTCTCGGGTATTTCCGTAAACTGATGCAGGAGTAAAACCTATGAATGAAATATCAGTCTGTACTTTCTTAAGTTTTAATATTGTTGAATATGAAGTATACTCTAGTACTGGTACTTATAAACGAGCAGAAAGTTATAATGATATCAGCTGAAATAGCAGTCAACACAATGTCGCCAAAGTAACTGAAACTAGATGTATAGCTAATGATACACCAGCCACCCTGCATTTACAAAGAAATACATGATATTATCCAACATTCAGAGCAAAGGTGGCTGCTATCAGTGTACGTAAATGTACTTGTTGGATCAGATGGCTGAACAAACTTAATCTGTTACCACATATATACCATTGATGTATTTCTGATAAAAGCAATCACTGAATAGGTTTCCTTGGATCACCAGTCCTAAGATATATTTGATACTTAAGGATGGTGCCATACAATCACTGCAGCGTACCTTGTCAAACTACTGAAAATAATTTGTCAAGAACGCTGAAAAAACGCCAACGTTCAATGTTAATTTCTGGTAAGTGAATGAGATAATGCAGGCTCATACATTTTAACTCCCATAGACAGACAAATGAGAAGCTGATTTAAAGTTGTTTCGCTGGTTCAGTTATTGTACAAATTTTAGCTCATGCGAGACAAGACATTTGATTCATAAGGGATATGGATGTCAGTGATGATAGCATAGGTGAAATTATGTTATAGGTTATGAATAGTTACAGCATATGAATGCAGCAGTAGTCTTTGCAAAGTATTAATACCGTTAGGTTATGTAGATAGTACACTATTAGACCGGACCATATATCACTTGAGTAGCTCATAAATTATAACTATCCAGTAAGTATGATTGTGTGTGTGTGTGATAATAATGCCAAGAATACCACTTTCATGTACGCAATCACAATTCAGCCCAGTAGTGTAAACGAATTGTCTAGCGACTCTAACCAATCACTGAGGACTATTCTTTTCATGGAATGTACAAGTTTGGGATATAATGCAGCTGCAAGAGTCATTATCTTTACAGTAATGCCCAACTAAATAGGGGGTGAAAAGCTAAGAATGAATGGACACTGTATTTGACAGCGCAATAATTTCAGGAGGAACAATGAAGCACCAAGATATATTTTGGCACTGATAGTCTCGACGGAAGGACCATACAAACTGTCAAATAAATACTTACAAACTTCGTAAACCCAGAGCAGACTGAGCCGAATAATCATCTGTCATATGTAATACAGCAAATATGACCTGACGGTTAGGTCACTCGACACACAATCTACGGGTCGCGGTTCGAACCTCGCTATTGAGCATGCTCGCCTTTTCAGATGTAGGTATGTTATAATAAGATGGTCAATCCCACTTTTCATTGATAAAAGAGCAGTCCAAGAGTTGGCGGTGGGTTGTGTTTACTATCTGCCTTCCCTCTAGTTTATCACTTCTAAATTATGGATGGCTAGCGCAAATAACCTTCGAACAGCTTTGTGAGAAGTTCCACAAACAAATAATACAGCAAATACTGGTTATTCTCCAAAGCTGTTAATATCCAGGTAAGAAGTATGGCTCCCTCTGTATCGATATATGGTCCATTACATATACAGAGGCTCCATAACTTCCACAGGCATGTTTAGATAACATCCACACAATTTTACAAATACAAACTCATGCAACAAATAAATAAAGGCACTGAATGTACAAAGGTTAAGGGAAGGCATAAAATAATTGACAGATCGACCGTGGAGACTGTGCTTGGGTGTATCAATCTCCAGCAACACAGCAGCAACTTTGCAACCGTTGGATTGCATTATATCTTGTATGTTTGATAGCTTAATCTATTGAAATACAAGCTTGAACATGGTATGTGAAATTAAAAGAACACATAGATAGGATGATGCTATATGTTACAACATAATATCTGAAACATTAACTGAAAAGGACGCAGAGATGGAAAAATCAGCCCATAAACAGAATATTATCACAAAAAATCTCATCGCAGTTGATAAAGAGAGGACAAAATAGAACTCCCTTGGCTGTTTATGATGAACTAGAAAAAAGTATGTTTACTGAAAGCCCAATGCTGAAAACTGGCTAAATTAATGAGATCAATCTCTGAACTGACATGTTTGAAATTAAAAATGAAACCGACTGGACCAACAGTGGCGTAGGAACTTCTTTTTCCAAAGGGAAGTGCAAGAGATACCTGAAATTGACACATATTACTTACACGTAAAGGGTATTGATCAAGACAAGCGGTAGTGTATTGTATGGCCAGAACAACCTGCTGCAGGACACACTGTGTTAACAGGAGTGATGGTTTAGCGATTTTCCACCTTCTGTATCTCGGGCTTTGGTAATACAAAATATCACATATTTTCAGTGGATGAGCTCTACTGGATACTTACTTCACATACCAAATTTCAAGCAATTCATTAAGAAATACCTGAGATATAACATCTCCAATTTTGATTAAGCTTCTTCCTATTTTTCTTCTTCGCACCACAAGTACGAATACTTTATTTGATAGAAAACAGACTTAACATTCATGGATTTTTTTCTCAAATTTGGCACACTGGTAGATCTTTTCAACCTACAATTAGAAGTCTCATTTGGTGTAAATATAAGTCACATGTGCAAAGTTATTTAACAAAAACCGCTCAAATTTGACGAAAATATTTCGCATGCCTACGCAAAAAGTGACGTGAGCTATCGGTCTAACATTTTTAATACAGCTTCTCCTAGGAGTAAAAGTGGACTGTTTTTTGTCTTTTGTCATTCGGATTAATGACGGTTGACTTAGAGCAGAAAAACTATCGGGTGAAAAGCCAAGCAAACCAGATTACCAGTTTCTAGATCAAGTTTTCAAAAGACGGGTGGACGGTTATTGATGATTATTCATTGCCAACTTTTCAACACAAATCTACTAAATTTTATGAAATTATCCTAACTAAAGAGAGTTTTAGCATCGTGTGATATTAGTTTAAGCATTTAGCATAAATAATGGTGCTTAATACGGCTGTACCGATTGCTTGGGAGGGATGGCAAGAAACTGTTAATCTAAATTCTATGACGTTACTATAAAAGAAATTATTAACAGTGTTTTAGAAAGGAAAACTACCACCATATATTTTAAACAACCTGGTTGGTTCTGTAAAGTAAAGGTCTGTTCCGAATAATAGGGTTGCGATCATAAAGCTAATATGGATTACTATCGAGTGTCACTTTCTTACTTGTTGTGCTTTGTTGGTGTATCTTGACAAAAAGTCGTGATATATAATCAAAAACACTTTATGTGTGGAAAAAAAGGTGCGGCCAAAAAAAAAA